AATGCCAATGTCACGTTTTTTATGTTTGAAATAGTTCGAATACGCATCCAAATTTATAGTTAGCTGATGAAATTATGTATAACATTGTGATTGTTATGTTTGAAAGCACTTGTTCGTTTTGTTACTCCGCGACTCTGTAAAAATAATATTACTGACGTGCAGGTGTACACTGGTGTACAGGTATTTAAAATTGCGATTATGAAAAATAAAATGCTGACCTTATATTATACGCGGGAAAGAGTACGGAGTCTGGAAAATTTCGGAACGACAACAATATAATAATGTGATGTGTATTAATATTATCGTAAAACTCGGGATATTATTGTATACGTGCGTACGAAATATTGTAAAAACGGCGCAAAAATAATTCACACCATTTCGGTATTTGTTTAGTCTGTTACTGCACAGCGATCCGTTTGTGCAAAGTCGACATTATTTTATAATTTTGTTTTTTTTTTTTTTTTCATTATTATAACGTCTCAATTGTTTTGTTTTTTATTCGGTTTTTATTATTTTTTTCTATTCCCCTTATTATGTGATACGCGCGTATGTAATATATGGTTCGAGCGTATTTTTTTACTCTTATAAATTTAAAAGGTTTTTTTTTTTTTTAATTCTCAAAACAACAACACGAAAAAAAAAACCGACAACAACAACGCGGGCGTATTGATTATGTGCTCGTGCTCGCATATCTATATACGTGCATAAGTACTGCATTATACATAAACGTGCAGTTAATATATTATTTAAATTATCCATATATAGAGGGGCATAACTATAAACAGCAGGAAACGGCGTGGACGCATCAGGGGAGACGTTGTCCGGCGAATTAAACCGAAATTTTGAAACGAATTAAACCGCAGAACCGTCTATAGTTACCTCTATTATAATTTACTCGAAAACCATAATGTATAATAGATAAATGGATGGGCCACCGTGGATAAAACGAGAGAAAATGAGATAGTTTGGGCATCATATGAGGCTAGAGGAAACAGAAGCGGTAAGCACTGTAATGAAAATGGACGTAGGACAAAAGAAGAGGGGTGAGGAAGAACCAAAAAAACAGGTAGTTGGATGCGATTGAGAATGATATGAGGAAGCTGTGTGTATTTAAGGACGACGGGGGGGATCGGGGATCAAATGGAAGTTTAGGACGAGGGGTATTAACCCCGAAATAGTTGGGATGTAGCTAAAGGAAAAGAAGTAATGGATGAACAAATGTGAGTTCTGTTCGAGGTCATCGTCGTACTCCGGCTAAGAGAAAAACCGCTTCATAACCAAATTACGTGTGTGTATGTGTGACACTTTATTATTATCCAGATATTGTATTATTAGGTTAACGATAACGGTGAAGTACAAGAACGTCTAGTAGCTTTAGTTACAGTTCATTTTTCTTCTCGGCTTAGGCTGTATTAAGTTTTTGCTCTTTTACCGAGTCTACTTTATAGAAATTTCTAGAAAATTCTATGGCAATTTCTGAATGTTCGACGGACGATGAGTTCGAATGTCACCTTTTTAAATGCAAAAACATAACATCGTTTTCGTTAACACTTGTTATATGTTAAGATTTTAATTGTTAAAGACAACTTTTATAATTAATAAAAAAGAAAGAAAAAGGTAGTAGATACGACATACGTAATAGATTGTTAACCGGTGACAAGAATTGAAGACTTCTTGGTCTGCCATTTTTGTGAGAATTATTCAAATATTGTGATAAGAACGATAATTCTCTTTCTCTTTCTCTCTTTCTTATCACCATACTTTTCTTTATCAATATCTGATATCTGATATAAGATTATAATTCCAAAAATGTTGGGGGAAATGGTCGCATCCTTATAAAAGTGTACAAGTCATATAATGTGATATTTACCCCATAGAGATCTTAAAACTCACCGTGTGCTACAATTTTAACCATGCTACAATGTACTTATAATTTAATTTGTCTATAATTTACGTAAAAATTCACCAGAATGTTTAGTTAATAGATTGTGGAAATGAAGGAAAAACAGAATACACGATTACACGAATATTACGAATATTGTAAAATAGCCAGAAAATACGTGAACACTATAGAATGCAAACCGATAAGAATATAAAATGACGTACAATTATTACATACCCGGCTGACTTTGTCCTGTAGGCTCCAAAACTACGTCTTTATTTCGCAATCATTTTCCAATGGTATAATATTTTTTCGTGATCCGGGTTAAAAGTAAAAGCCTTCCTGACCATATTATACATTTTAGTTTTTCACGCGCAGTTTTAATTTCCAAAAGAGCTCTAGGTACTCGCTATACTTTCCTAATTATGCAGTTGTTTTTTCGACGGTAAAAAATATTATAAATATGCTCGAAATTTGTCGAGTATTTTTTCCATCGCGTCTACCGCAAAAAATATGCGGTACTTACAGAAAAAAAAGGAGACATTTTACAAACTTTTCTTGGACTTGGTGGCGAAAAAAAAATATATATATAATCGTGAAACTATTACCACTGTGCGGAAAAAACAGTGAAATTTATGGCACACCGGTTTTGAACTATATCGATGCTTTTATATTAGTTCGTCGGGAGAATCCTATTTAGACACACAGAAAAAGGTTTTCCGATTATTTATTCAAGGAAATATTGTGGTAGTAGTAACGTTCCCAATTTATACTTATCGAGTTTTGTAAAATTCTGTACCGACAAATTTGCCAATTTATATCTATTCGATAAAAACACGTGATACCGAAATAAGCCGTCTCCGTCTTACAAACACACGGAAGAACTTCATTTTATTCATGAAAATTGAAATAAATAAAAGAAGCCATTCGAAATTTATACAATAGAAATTCATAAATGCATTATTATGCAAGTTAGGTATATTTTTTTTATATTACATAAATGGACATTTTCTTTGCTTTAATAAAATAAAATAAATGTCTCTATTTCATATTATATTACCAAAATTCTATTTACCTATATCTGTGTTTCTATCTTCTGATAACAATAAAATTGTAAATGGTTATGAAACGGGTGCTCGTGAAATGATTTAACTAAGTTAAGTATCTATGGATAATCTCTAAAGTATTGTGATAAAACCACAAACAAAATAAAAATTATTTTTGTAAAATTACAAAATTACTGTTTTATACTACAGTTTCAAGTGTCTTAATAAAGTTCATGGGATGAATTACCATATCCTTGCATACCGCTAATGACGCCACTGCGCGCGGCATAGTAAATTTTTATTAAATCGGGATAATTTTGTGCCAATAGTTTTCGTATACGAGTGAATTGACATAATTATCGAAAATAAAAGAAGTGACATTGTCTGTATTTGTAGGTTGTATTTTTTTTTTTTTTATTATTCTAAAATTTTAATTTTTTACTGAATACGAGTATCTATGTGAATTATCACAAATTAAAAATGTTATATTATATATCTCGTGCAAAAATGATTAAATATCGAAAAAAAAACCGATTATTCACTCTATTATTAAAAATAACAACGCTAAATTATCTCTGCTGAACGTAAATTAGTTGTTTGTTTGGCGGAGACAGCAAATACGGGTATCCGAGGCATCGCGTGCTCTTAAGGCCGACGTCTATATTATAGTGTATCAATTCGAAAATTACTGTCGTCGCCGGCTCTTGTTTCTATACGTAACTTTACGAAAATTATAGGCCGGGAAGTCACCGGATATAGGGTCGGAACCTTCGCCTCGAAACTTCCGACCGTAGCAGATAACGGGTAACTGGAAAATGCATATTCAAAAAAAAAAAAAAAATGTTTTATAATTTTATCATTATATCGTTTCGGAAGTTCGATCGTGTCGGGTCCGAATATTACGGTCTCGGCCGGAAGCATAGCTATTTCTCACCGAATCGGAAAATGCCGGTGACAGTGCCGGCGCCGGCTATGGTTATTACTCCAATACGGTCTACACCGGGGAACGATAAATTATACACATAGGATGTGTACTTGAAAATGTAATAAGTCCTGCTATAGCCGTGTACTTCGGAAACGCACGTCACACGTTGTTTTATAGTCTTTATTAGTTTGTACTTTAAAACACCGTGTTATTGTCTTGCGTGTTTTTGCCCGGGCGCGGCAAATCGCCTGTTTCAGTCCCGGTACGTCATCGCAAAATCATATTATAAAATCTTCGATTAAAAATGGATGAAAAGCCATGGCGATGGACGGTGGAAGATTTGTAAGTCAATTGACCGTGGCGCAGTTGAATTAGATAATTGTAGGCTAGAGTTCAAATTCGGTACCCGGTGGCGTGTTCAGCAATAGTCACATATTTTGCGTTTTTATTTCTCGTATTTTATACATTTTGTTCGTTACTTGGGAATATTGTTGAGTTGTAACGTTCCCGTGTGATATAAAAATTCCATTGGAATAAAAGTATTTTATTATGGTACCGGGATATTTTAATGAACCAGTTAAACAGCATTTGCTAAATTACCGCAGTGATGCGCATTATAGCAACCGCATTCGTATTACAATTACGTTACTTAAACTTAAAATGTGATGGTTTTCCCTTAAGAGGGAAGAATGTGAGTCGACCTCATTTTTGTCGGGTAAAGAACTCCTGGTTCACAAGAAATAAGTGAATTAAACAACCAGCCGAGTTTCCGATAGTTACTCGCTTCAAACTATTTGAAGTTAACTTGTAAGTTTATGAGCAAGCAAATAGTTAACCGTTCTCAACCCCGCTTGTCTTCCCTTAACTACGACAATTAGTTTCGCCGCTATTGCCTCGGTTGTGTTTGAAAGTAAAAAATAAAATTTAACTACCCCCGCATTCGTTCAAAACGGTATGATAAAAGCTCGTGGATTTATTCACACGTCAATTGTATACGAGCGTGCGTACAATTTTGACACGTTTGTTATTTACTTGCCCCGGTTTTTGAATGACAAAAGATTTAACGCCTTATACGAACTGTGGGAAATTTCGGTCTCTTTAATAATGTGTACGGTTTCTGCAGGCGGACCGACGCTACGGCCGATTCTCAACGTCGTTTGTTCCGGCCTTTGGCGTGCATCCGTTCGGCAATCACCCGATTGCCCAGTACGCCGTGCGACATCCAATACTCGGACTTGGGCGGCACGTACGGCTCAGGCGGCCTGGCCCCCGAGTATTTGAGGTTGGTGGTCGGCGAAACGGTGAACGGTTCGCAGAACCGATGGCTGACGTCCGCGGACGGCGCGGGCACGCGTTCGGCCTTCGGACCCTCGATATCGTGCACAATCGCAAAGTCACGCGCGTACGACGTCGTCCGGGCGTCTATGATCACGGGCGCCCCGATGTCCGCGGGCACGGCGACGCACCGGGTCTTGAGCAACAGCCGCTCGAAGCGTCCGATCCGGCGCGGCTCGCGCTCGCCCGCAGCCGCCACCGTCGCGTTGTTGTCCGGCCCGTAACCCAACCGGAACGTGGTCGTCATCGGTTCGTGCGGCCCGTAACCGAACAACCGGCCGTGGTCCGTTTTCCTCGGTCCATGCGCCAATTTCCGCAGGCCCGTCGTAATAATGCAATTCCCGTTGTTCATTGTAAACACACTGTGTTAGTTGATCGCCGGTCGTTTGTTTCGTTGTTTGGCAATGTTATCGATAAACATTCAAAGGCGCGCAAAATATTTAACACGGCCGAGTCGGGTCATACGGACAATATTAAAAAAAATAATAACAATAACCCCCGGGAAATTTTCGCCGCACCCTGGGCAAGCCGTGTATGTGGGATTCCGGGAAGGTTTAAGATTATATGAAATAATATTTACTCATAAAATACAGAAAGTATAACGATTGACCATTGCTATCGAAATGCGATCTATTTACCAGATATGTACGACCTATACAATGAATCTCATGTTAAATTTCCAAGCATCTTTGCGCGGCCAAAATGATTTTATTCGGTTGAAACCATGAGAAAATATAAAATGTGTCAAATGGTTTTCAATGAATTCCAAACGGAGAACTTTTGAATTTCAATATGCTTTAATATTTAATTAAACTTTTACTGTCCTATGCGTGTAGCATTGAATTGCGCGTGTGCGAACGAAATCTTTAAAATGCGATAGGTTACCGTCTGGATCTGCATTTCTTTCCACCTCCCCCGCACCGTAACTATTGGTTACAATGGACATTTTTTGTTCGTTTGTTCGTACGTTTCATAAGTACAGTAATACGCAGCGGCCGCGTAATTATAGGTACCTATACGACACTAACGTCCATTTTGTATGCAAAAACGAAGCCGTATACGTTTTAAAAAAGTAAAAAATATTAATAAAAAAAAAATTCAATATGATCGAATGTTAAAATGAGCGCGTAATATTCTCCACCCGTTCTTGAATGTCACCCTATTGTTTGGTTTTTCAAGCTTTTATTCCGCCTGCGCCGCGAATAAATACCTCCTAATGCACAGACTAGACGAAATTTTCTTTCACCGAGAATACCGAGAATACAGAAAATGTATGTGATGTCGCTTTTTTGCAACAACGCCGTTCAATTTTGCTCTAATTGCTACCTATACCAACACCTAACGACTGCGAAAAAATCAACCCCGTATACATTTAATTAGGTATACGGCATCGCCAATAATTACTCGGAGGGTCACGTGTCGCAAAAACATCATTTGTTTCATAGAATTGCCGTCACTCTGCACAGTTCAATATAACAGAGTGAAGAAAAATACAATGTTCATAAAAAAAACACACATTTCAAACGTACAAAACACAATAAAATTACCGTAAATAAATAGGGAATAAAAATAAAACCGTGTGTATATATATATATATACAAAAAATGACATCGGACAAGGTCAAAACCACTACTGCATAAGAGTAAAAAACGAGAACCGTCGAAACGCGTAGAAAAAAAAAAATCGTATAATAGATACCATTTTACGAACGATTCGTCAAAATAATATCGCGTTTACAGGTGTTTTCGGTATGTGCAATTAAATAATAAAACGCAAAAAAAAAAACTGCCTCCTTTCTGTACGATCGATCTGCAAATTCACCCGAGACCACAATACTAATTATTTTGTTTGTTTGTTTATTTTTGTATACATACAAAAATTGCGACGCACCGTCGCAATACTCGGGTCGTGTGCGATGTGTTAACGAGGGCAGTGAACTATTATTTTTTAGTTATTTTTTTTTCTTTTTATCAATAACAATATATACAGTGTGTTTTTCACTCGGGCGGTAACGTGAATATTTTAGCCAGACGGACGGACGGAGTTTATTTAAGAGGGGGAGATCTCGGGGGTACGCATCGTTTTAACACTCGCGATGAGCGCATGCGCAATAAAAAAAAAAAACGATATACCTAACAAGTATTTGTATAACTAATGAACTGGCGCAGCTATTAATATTTTTAATTTATCGAAAAATAGGATAATTTTTTTTTTCTTGGTTTTTCACTCAAATACTTAAAACATATGTGTATGGTTACGGGTGATTTTTGACGAACACATTTACTTGTAGTAATAATTGTTTGTAAAACAATAGTAGCGGACTTTTTCTAGTTTTTTGAAAAATCCAGAAAAAATAATTAAATAACTTTAGACGGTCGGATCTCGGGTAATTTTTGAGACAGAAATAGAATCGTACTGAATAACGTTTGTTGAAAAAAAAAGTGTCATTCAAATCTGGTGTAATTAGAAACAATAAAGTGTTTCCGTTTAAGAAATCGTAAGTTTATTTCGTGAGCGCGAATCACGAGGGTTACAAATTTAAAAAAAAAAACGTGTACTTTGGAATCCCCTATCTTTCCGATTAAAAAACCCCCATCCGAGTACATCCATAAAAAATGTTTTTTTTTTTTTTTTTTAAATGAACCAGTCTTTTTTTCAGAGACTTTTAAGTGGATTCTATTTCTGTTAATCATTATGAAATCGTTAAAGCTTTATTTTAATACTATTTTCAATTTTTAACTATAATCTTTATACCTGAACTGAGTATCCACTTGGAATATTTAAACAGCGACGCACCTCCTTCTCCCTTTCACAGATTGAAATAGAGAATATTTTTGTAGACATTCTATTATGTCTATGCATTTTATTATTATGATATTTATGTTATGCATAACACTAATATTAGATTTACCATTTATTAGTTACAACAGTTTGAAGTTTAGACCGGTGAAGTAGGAAAGGGTTATAAATTCCATATCTGTCACTGACTGGTCCATGAAAAAAAATCACCCTGTTTGTAAACGCTACGGGTATGCAGTGTGCGCTGTTGCCAGAGGGATACGCAAGTAACTATTGCAACAATATTATTGAAATAATTTTAATGAATGGCGATAGGCACGGTTTTTAAAGTCCAATCATTTTATTATTATATTTTGTACGTTTTCAATTATTTATTATGATTAAAGGAAATGATATTATTATTTGCCAACGTTATCGCTATTATATTTTGTTTACTTTTTGATTGTGTAAACTTTACATTTTTTTTTTGTAGCTTTCGACCTGCGCAAACAACATAATCACGACTTTATCAACACTCAACTACTGCGTTATTTTTGTTACACGAATAGTCGATATTAAGCACCTTTGCTATGTTTTTACTCAACGGGTCAGTGATTTTTTTTTTTTTTTTTGTATTCTCCGAGTTTACCGATATGAAAATATAATATTACTTATTTTGCCGATAACTGTGAAAAAATATTATGTACATGTAAAACATGCTGCTATGTTTTAATAATTCTTATATTGAGGCTCACGTGGTAATCATAAATTTAATAAGATGCATATTATAATATGTTATTGGCTTTTTTTCTATTAGTTCGCACCGTGTCGAATGCGGTGGTTTTCATTGGCCCGAGTATAACGGGAAATATAATATTATGGTCTGGATATTTGTAATTCGGGTACATCCAAATAGTGTCCTGACTTAATCGATTAGTCTAACAGTAAAATATAATTTATAATTATTTTACGTTGCAGTAATTATACGCATATAAACATAATAATAATCGAATTGCGGGGACACAGACCAATCGCCGAAAAAGACTCGATAAATTCATACAAGTATATAATAATATAGGTACATTTTATTCTGTTATGAATATTTGTCTTGCTAGTAAATGTCAAATAAACTAGTTAATTGAGGCCTGATTGTATCGAGAATATAATTAATAATAATTGTAATCGATATCTCACCGTACAATTCATTATTGATCAAAATGAATATAAACAAAAAAAAAAAAAAAAAAAAAAAAAAATAGCCAATAATATAAGTTACGTAAAATGTACAATTTTGTCGTCAGCTTTCCAAGGTTAACTAATAATTATTATTCGATTTACTTATATCTTCGCTATTAATAGTAATCAGTCGTTTGGTTGATTTGCTACAGTTCAACGTGCTTCCCATTTGTAATCGCGTTCCTTTAACTCCATACAAATATCTTTTGCCGTGTCTACTACGATCTGTTATGCGCACTCCGTTCTTCATCTTCCGCTGCCGATAGTGATTTTCTACTTTCTATAATACGCGTTTATTGAAGCTATCATTTTACAGTTGTTGACCTATCATGTCGTGAAATTATTAATTATCAATTCTGACTTATGTCAAAATTTTTGTCTTTCCTTTATTCTGTTCGGTATTTCTCTGTTTGTTATTCTTCATGTCCATTATCTGATAACACCACATTTCAAAAGCATCTAATTTTCTTTTCTCTTTTATCCCGATTTTCTTAGTGACACAACTCCGTATAGCTACACTACACTGCACATACCATTTTAGTGGGTACAATTTTATATTTATGCTAATTTTATCACCCTTATTTTCGGGGGTAAAACCACTACTCACTTTTGATTTTCAAAGGCAACCTATATAAACATTTCTATAAATAAATGTAGTATTAGTTAGAATAAATTTTAGTGTTGACATTTTTTATTTCCGTCGATCTGTTGTCGAGATATTCCACTTTTAAGTTTGGGTTGGAGGAGAGTAGTTGAGTATCATTTGTGTGGTGGTGCGGCACACGGTGTGTTAATAATGTACCACTACTCTCCTCCAACCAAAACTTAAAAGTAGAATATCTCGTCAACGGCTTGACAGTAATCAAGAATTCCAACACTAAAATTTATACTAACTAATACTCCGTCTACTTTTGGATTTCTTAATGTAGGTTTGAAAATCAAACTGCTTGTTTCTTAAATGTTCTAGGAAACAAATTCTGAAAAAAGTTAATACTTGACGAAATAATGAGTGTACCCACTTAAATGAATCACCTGGTATACTTTCTAAAACCTTTTTTCTTACCAGTAAGTAGGGGCGAACCTAGGGTATATTTTTAGGGAAATTCAGAGTGAGTTTTGCTGACTTCCAAGAACAAAATATGACGACTATATACACTGACGACTGATATTTGTACCATATTATCTGCCGACTGTTATCAGCTATTACAGTTTTAGTTAATTCAAGGAAAAAGTTATTAATAAAAAGACGTCCTATATAAGATAATAGGGACGAACGCAGCCACTGTTATAGGTAATTTAATTTATACCTTTTAATTTAATTTAATTTACATGTACGAAATGATAAGCTATTGCTTACGAAAAAACGATTCTGAACGAAGTGTAGTTGATAGTGATGCTTTGTCAACAATATATTATCCATATTATAGTAAAATAATTCAAAAGGCTTCATATATTTTCTTTTATAATTTTTGTTTAATGTTGTGCCGATTTTCCCGGTTTTTCTACGTTTTCCCCAGTTTTTTCATGTTTCTTCCCGATTTTTCATATTTGTTGAGAAAATGGAAAAACGACACACCCCCTAAAACTCCCCTCGGGATCGCCTTTGCCAGTAAGACACACTTACTACGTTTACATACACAATTTAAGAAGATTTGAAAATTAAATCGGTTTAATCATGTATTATGTAAGCAACTTAAAGCGACTTAAATAAGAAAAACCGCTTTTAATTTAAGGACTCTCGAATGCGTAGTTTAACCAAATAAAACCGGACTTATGGTTAAAATCGTTTGTTTTTCTTTTTTCGTGTAATCCGAACAATCGATTGTTAAGCTATCGATCGATAGCTTAGGTCTATTTTTTCATAAAATAGATTTGAGAAACGGTTTATCTGATGCCATGTAAACGTTGAAATGTTAGTGATCAGTAGAGGATTTTTATTCTGGAAAGTCCAATTCGCTTGTAGATCTCAAATTATTTTGATTATCCTTTGTTATTTCACTTTCTAGATAATTGAAGTATTATACTTGTTCTATGTGTACGGTAATTCAGCATGTTAATATATCTATAATTCTATATATATTCTGTATTCTATATATACATTGATGAAAATGTTGCAACAAACGCAATTTTCCAAATAAAATTATTGATTTTCCCGCGTAGAAATTTCAAAAATGGACTACGTTCCTTACTATACGTCGCCAGGTATCAGGCAAATACAATATTTTGATTTATAAAACGAACAAAAACTATACAGTCGCTGTCTAAGAACATTTAAATCTAATCAGTTCTATCAAATCTTAATTAGTCCATAATACAGTCGACAAGTAGGTACGACTTGTATATTTTCGGTATTTGACAATTTTGAAAAAAAAATTGATTTTTGTTCAATATAATGTAGACTTTAACGATTAAATTAAAAACCTGATGGAACATAAACATTTTAAAAAACCAAATCAACACACCTAAATATTATAATATAAGTACCTATTACAAATATTTTATCGAATTAATATTACAAAATAAAGACCGTTTAGATAAATAGGTTTAATTATGCATCATGTGCAAAATAAATGTTCACCATAAATTACATAGGAAATTTTTAAGGTTATCAATATTTTTGATTTCGCATATTATAGGTATGTATTTTGATTATATGAATTCAGCGCGAACCGGATAATAGCTGACATTAAGACTTTTTATCTCTTATAAGTATTAGTATTATGTACCAACCTATTTCTTTTAAAATCTAATTTTTTATAGTGCTGATTATAATCACTATTGTCACCTTGTTAATAATTTGGATAAAATAAAACAGCCAGAAAAAAATATAGCAACATATGCAGATCAAAAAAATGTATTATTTACTATTTTTGGTTATAGCAGTCAACACGAGTATTTGACATCGAACCGTTCAATTTGTCACGAAATTTGCAGATTTTATCCATTCGTAGAGGTATAATAGTTCTTTGTCTAATAAGTACAGGTACATTAAATCGGGTTTGACTTAATTAACGGTTATTAGTTATTACGTTTTTATCGTAATAATGTACTTTTACGGTATACGTACGTAGGCATCTATACATTATAAATATTATATTCATTTTCTATCACGTATTGGCAATAAGAATTTGATAACAATATTTTATAGATAAAAAGTATAATATATTTTTTTAAATATATGTATTACGTGCTTAACAACAACATAATTAACATGTTTATAACGCAACAGATGGTTACACGTGAAACTGATGAAAGTCGTGCATTTTCTTCCCGTAAACTTCCGATTTCATACTGTGAGTACCTCCACCCTAACTTCCTGTGAGTAATTTTACTAAGACAGTATTAGGTCGATATAAAGACGATTTGTGTTTTTTCATCTCCCACCCCCTTGGAAAAATGTTTTGATTGATCGAGGAAAAAATTAGGAAGAGGATCATTGGAGCATGTGACAATCACATTACCAAAATCAAGTAGGTATACTTATGGTTCTTAAAATATGTATTTTATTAGGTATGTGATATAAAGTATTAATGATTTTTTTTTTTTGTTTGTACGTATACACAAAGAAAACAATGTAATAAGAACAATATATGAAAAATAAAATTATACAGGATATTTCTGAAAATAATTATCAGTTTTTTTTATTTAAGTCGTATTTTTATTGGAACAATATTTCTGGTAGAAAGCATAAGGTCTAAACATTTGAAACAATAAAATCGTAACGCCGTAAATTTGATTCAGTTATCGTTTTAGATTCCGAGCGTAGTAAGGGAGCTTTTGGTTTTACTAAGATATTTATTTTTTTTTATCCTCCTTCTTTCTTCTGGTCTATGGACACGTTTTTTTCTAGTAAACTTGCTCCGATTTTTACGTATAGCAACTTTACTGAATGCTTAAGTTGTCTAGATGGTACTTTAAAAAGTTATTTTTTGATTTTCGACACCATTTTTTAAATACAACCATAGGAAAACGTGCAATTTCACGATTTCATTTTTTTATAAAAACACAGACGTTTTCTACCAGAAAAAGTGATTTAAGTGATTTACATTCTTATGGTATCATCGCCAAACTTTTAAGCCACTTTTGAGTATTTCAGAAATTTCAGTTTATGGAAGTTTTTTTGCTGTTATTCGGTTATAAATACACGTAGTGATTGGAAACTTGGTAATAATAGTTATATTGGACTTACCTAGACGTGGTGAAATTTCCAAAATCATCGGAAGACTTTTTTTTTTTTTTAATAAGCGTTCTGAAATTAAACAAAAATCGCCAAAAAAGTTACAGCTATTCAAATTATGTATTACCGAACTGTGTTCAGAATCGTCTTTCGTCAAGCAATGGTTTATCGTTGCTTACAAATATCAATGAAATAACCTTATGTATCTTTCCTACAATAGTGACCATTCCCATCCCCACTATCAGCTATTTTTTTTTCCTAATTATTTTGAAAACTACTTGGAAAATCAAAAATTTAATATGAAAATCAAAAAATACCGGATTGGTAAAATTTCCTTTCAGAAAAGGTGATACACTTGAAAATCAGGGCAAGATATATGATATATGAAAATTTGTTACATAAATAAATGTATTGATTTATACAATTGTATCTAAAACACTTCAGTAACCTGTAATAGGCAATTTTAAAAATATCATTAGGAATAAAAACTATTTAATTTAATTTTTCGATAAATAGAAGGATAGGTTCGTTAAATAATATACGACTTCATGCGAATAAATGTGTTAGAAGTTGTAAACAAATAAAACACTGAAATACAAAAAAACAAAATGTTCTACTAGAAACCAGTCTTAAAGTTAACGATCAGAGTGATACTCCTGGTAGAAAAAATGATTTGCAGACAAAAAAACAAAATAAATGTAGATTTAAAAGAAATTACACATTATAGAAAACCAATACATTTCTTGCTACGTTCAGACTCTACAAATAGTACAAACATTTTTGGATCTACCGCAGTACGTGGGTCGCTCAGGTTTTCCTTCGGGTTTCGCCACGTTTGTTTCTATAAAATTAAAGCAGACCAAATCCCCACTATGATGAATAAAGGTTTTTATAAGTACAAAATATTACAAACGTCAATTACCGCTATCAAAAGATTTGGTTACACGAATTTGTCAGTACCATCAACACATCGGGCCACTCACAAGCCCGAACACTCCACCCTTTGTAATAATAATTAATAATTAATTATAGCACTCACGAAATTATGACTAACGACGGCACAGACGGCAGTACAAAAAAAAAAAATGAAATCGCGTATTTGTGATTCAGATTCACTCGTGTGTTAATGATAAACGCAACGTCGGACAAGACCTACGAATACAAAAAAATGCGTGATTATTGTTTATCAAAAGTATATTATTATTGTGCTTATAATTATTTAGATGTAAACGGTTTGTCAATTAGCGATATGTACCCCCAGAAATACGAACATTTTCCATTTCAAAGTTAGAATTATTTTGAGACTTCTAGGGTAAATTGATCTGAAACAAAAAAAAAAAAAATGCATACATAATAAAATCAAAAACGCGAGGCCCTAGGCGGGTGCCCAGAAAAATTATAGTTTATAATAGTAGATGTAGATATAATTTGCTTACTATATATGCATATATGATTTGTATTTAATGTGTTTATATCACCCCACACCCACCCATTGAAAATCGCAACTGCTCCTGAATCCTGATGCGCCTATAACACTGTGCCCATCCGGAAATATTTACAGTGGATCCTTCCTTGAGAGGTATATATTGTAAAAATGCTCACAAAAAGTTTTGCTGGGTAACTATACATTTTTAATTGAACTCGAAAGGTACCTATTATATACCCACCGATATTTTTGAAGAGGCAATTATTATTATTATTTTAAATTTACGGTTCGCGACACCTCACCCAGTGACAATAGCAGTAAGTATCAAACTATTGAGATGAAACGCATCTACTCACCGCATTGAACAAACTCTCAAAATCAGGGGTGGAAAACTGAGGGAAGATGAGAGGATATATTACCCCCATGACCACATTTCCCTTCAATATTACTATGTCTATTATATTTATAAAAACAAAATTATATAAATATTTAAATAATACTATAGTTGTTAAAAAATAATCCTTATCTCCCTCCCATGACAAAAAAAATTTAACTTCTACTGGTTAACATTTCAATTCCTAGTAGTATTACAATCGATGCGATAGTGTAAAAATAATTATCTTAATTCAAATTTTCATTCAAAACTTACATATTAAACGTATTGCGGTCACAATATATTTGTTTTGCAATAAACTTCACATTCATACGTCAGAATTCAGAGACTTCCAAAACAATTAGGTTCAGCCATCGATTCTATTGAAACTATGTTTACATAGTTAAAACACTATTGTTGTTAAATTAGCGTGACAAGATAATTTTTAAGAATAACCGGTGCAGTGTAATTACGTTCGGAACATAAATGAAATGCAATTATTTATAGTTAGACGTTTAAAATGCATATTATGGAACTTTTTATAGAATATTACTGATTTGAGACACAAAAAACTACATATTAAACACTCGTTGTAATTTAAACGAACGTTTTTTTTTTTTTTTTTAATTTGTCTTTATTCATGATTATAAAAAAAAAAAACTGACACACATCGAGCAACCTACGCACGCTACGATTGTTTCAAGTAAGAAAGTTTTGTTTACAATACGTTTTAAAATGATAGTGTCAAGTGCTTAGAATAAAAAAAAAAATGTTTTTTTCTCAATATTTCACTATATTATAAGATCGCGTAAATAAAAATTTCGAAAAAAGACACGTTTAATTATTGTTATTAATTTCTTTGCAGAAGTTATCCGACTTTTGTAATTATTATGTGCTGCAGTCTATAGCGAAACGCTGATTGAAACATTTGAAGCGTTTTCACTCACTCGGAGTGAAAAGAATAAATAGTGTTTTCCGAGACAGAACGAAAAAAAAGTGAGTTCACATCATAGTACAAACTATAATAGCTTCCACTCACTTCAACTCTAAAATGTAATAACACATATATAACTTTACGTTTTTATTTCACGAGTAATAACCTAGTGGAAAACGTTAAGTACTTAGTTTTTTGAGGAAAACGAAATTCGCCGTATATTATATTTTGTAAAAGTATACGAAAGGTCACGAGCCAAAACGCGTTAGGTACTTATATTACGTTTTTGAAGGAAATATAATGGTTTTCTTTTTCTAGGAAATGAACCGCCTCGACGTTTCATATCGTATTTTGATGTCATTATCATTAATTTTATGAGTATGACACTATGACGTACCGACCTAGGTACCTACAACTAATATAGATGTATTTAAAATTATTGTTAATCTTCTACACAAAACATATGCAAACTAAAAACTATTAGGGATGTTTTTACTTAAAAAATAAAGATATCTAAAAAGAACCACATTAATCAGTGAAATAATAAAATATCAGAATTGATACCTACAACAGTAGTAATGATAATTACAATATTCTGTATGTGAAGGGCCAACGTGCCGTACCTATATGAAAATATATACATATGTAAAATCTATAGATAATATGCAAATAAATTAACAATTTAAAATCTTTGTTAATATATTGGTTTTACTATGAAGTGTTTTGTTTTTTGTATGTTAAAAAATTTGTCTATCAAAAATCTTTCTCTAATTAAAATCTTTATAGGTAGGCGTAGGAATTTTTCTTATAGTATTTTTGGTCTAACTGGTCATTGTTTTTGTTTTTCTTGTAGTTTTCTGAATAAATAAAAAAAAAAAAAATTGTTTCATTTTTGTTAATTTCTGGGTTACCTTGGCAACAAGGGAAAAAATACGACTAATGCTATAACTGATATGCTATACAGAATATGTTGCGTATAGAAATACATTTAATAACTTTATGCATGCTATTTTTAATGAAAGTATCACGTTTTAATTAGATACCTATCTGTTACTCGAATCAAAATTGTGTACTTGAAACGCATTTACAAAATTCACACATAAAAATTCACAAATCGAACGATAGACAATAATAATTTTTGATATGTTCTTTAAAACTATACGGTCGAGAAGTACTTAAAACATCTATTATAAGCGAATATTACGAAAATGATATTGTTGCTATACTTCTTCTTTTAATCGAAATTATTAAATTTTACACTGAAAATACTGCGTAAGAAATATGCAAAAATAAGAAATAAACCAACCTAAAAAGACGCAAAAAATAATAATAATAAACTAACATAAAGAGACGCAAAAAAAAAAAATACTTTGCAAAATGGAAAAACGTGAAAAATGATTGAAATATAAAATTTTTAGTTGCAAAGTATCTGAGTAACACGAATCAAATTATGTTATGATACTTGGAATGATTTTTTCTAAAGAGGAGCCGAAATAAAGAAAAAAAAGCACTTTGCAATTCAATTCTTATATCCGTTTAAAGTGAATTATGATAAACATTTTTTATGCGTTTTACCGTGCGATTCTACAAATTAATCGTGTCAC